CACAACTCTCTTTTCTTTCCTCTTGTCTTTCTCTGGTAAAGCACTTGTTCCAGCTAGTGGTTCTCTTGTTCTTTCCATTAGTAAGACAAGCTTGCAAACAAATTAGTTCTTTGAAGAAAATCCCCAAACTTCAAAACACTTTAAGCAAACTTTTGGCATACTTAAGATTTTTGCAAAATTTTCATTGTGCCTAGACATACTTATCTAGTAATCCCTAGTTAATAAACATGGTGAATGCAAGCAAATGCACACAAAATCCCTAATATTTGCCAATAGTTTCAAGGTAATTTGGATTTTCGAAATTTTTGGTACCCGAGAACAGTAAATGTCAAATTTTTCAAATTTCACCATAAAAACTAAAAGGAATGCTACTAAATCATCATATTAATCAATGAAAAACAAAACCCAACTCTTAAAACCAATCCTCAATCACATCTATCAATTATTTTTCAAAAATCCACCATGTGAGATATAACTTAAAAATAGAGAAATCAGGAAACATACATTGCTTGTTAAGTGAAAGAGGACCTAAAACAACTCTAAAATTAGTTATAGCAGACGAAAATAGGATGGAGCTTTGAATCACTGGATTTAGATGAAGAATTCAGAGAGTTTAGGTGTTTTTAGTGAAGTAAGAGATAAAAAAGAAGTAAGACTCGAGCTTAATGCTTATATTTGGGGAAGACAAATAAAAAAATCAGTCAACATAAGCAAAAGAAGGAGTTGACTTACCTGGGTGGGTCATATTGGTTTGTACGTTGATAACATGCATTATTACATCATTCTAGGCTTTATTTAGTATAGGTTTTCATATTCTTTCATCCATTTATTAGTCTAAAGTGTCCCATTTGCATTCATATTAGAATTAGTGTGAATTATGATTAGGAATGCATGCATTGCTGCATTTTGGGTGTATTTAGGTCTTCACGAGGCTAAGGAGGACATTAGAAGAATGGTGGTTGAAATGGAGAAGAAGAGCCAAGCTGGAAGCAAGTGATCAAGGCGTTTTGAGCCATATCGAGCGCCACATCGTGGAGAGCACCTTTTCCTTGCTCGATATCCGAATTCACAGGAAATATCGTGAATATGCACTAAGGAAGGCACCAAATGGACTGCACGGTGCGTACCAAGATCGAGGGGTTAGCCGAGCCAAGGATCTGGATGTTTAAGGTAGATTATGATGGTTTCAGTGATTGTTTAAGGTGTTAGATCTTTAATTATCTCTTCTTGTGTGATTGTGTTTAATGCCAAGTACCTCCATTTTGCCTGAAATAGATCCTAGACGTTTTGTTGTCACTCATGTGTTTGATGAAATGTTTGAATGGGCATCAATGCTTGAAAATAAAGTTTTGATTGTCATGAATCTTTACATCTATCATTTCCATGCTTGGTTGTGCTCAATGCTAGAGTACTTTAGGGGCTGAGAAATTACCTTTAAACATTGATTATGCATGGGAATGTGAGTTGACGTTTGATTCATTGCATAAGAGATTAGTAATTTTAACCTAAGAGATTAATTATCTAAGTTGCTTTTTGGTTTTATAGGCTTTATGATTGAATGCTTTTTTGTCATATATACACCATTGACCATGGGTTTGAAATGTGAAAATACAAAAAGATTAGTACCATGGAAATGGATTAGTCTATAATTGTAGCCTTTTGATAGGGTCTAAGTTTTACCCAATTATATTACTACTGCAAGTGCACAGCAAAGCAGTTGTAGCACAAAGGATTATCGAATCCCAAATGAGTAAGCTACTACACTATAGAATTTAGATTCTGATTAAGCTAAGTAATAAATAATGAATGTAATGTGAAATAACTAAGTAGTTAAAAGCAGGCGATTTTGTTGATTGATCTAAAGTCCAGGAAGCTAAAAACTCTAAGCTAGGATAATTCGCAGGTTGAATCCGAGAATGTAGAATGCATGCAATCAGGAAATGATTAAAACCGTCTAGAACTTGAAACACAATGATATAACTAATCAATTCTCATTGCAGAAGTTACCTATGCCTGAATCACAAAAGTTCAAATATCTTTGCAATTTATAATAAATCAAGCAAGCATTAATGATCAGGTTTCAATTGTTCACAAAACTCCTAAGACAAATCTCTTTGCAAATGGTACTTTTTCTCATCTAATACTAGTTCAGATGATTAACAATGTTCTCTCATCTTTTAAACAACCTAGGATTTCGAAATCTAGATGATCAGTTCTAAAAATCGATATGAATGCAAGCACAGATGAAGAACCAATGGATTTTTTCTAACAGTTTGGGAATTCTACAAACTCTTCATCAACCATTAAATCATCCTAACTTAACTAGCAGATTACTTAGACATGGAGATGATGAAACAAATTATAACTGAAACACACTGCATAAAATAGAATAGAGTAGAGATACAAGGGTTCGAAATCTTCACTAAAAAAGTACAGGATTTGTCTCCCTCAATGCTCTGAAAACTATATCTCTCTCAACAGCTCTCTCGAAAATCAGATACAAGCCAAAGAATGGCTGAAAAACCTAATATACTAGCTAAAACACGAATGGGGCCTTTATGCAAATAGTAAAACTTATGGGCCAAAAGTGCAATTTCTTCTTTATCTTTTAATAAATCTGCATGACCCTTCCTCGGATGTGGGTGACGAGCGTCACCCTTGGTTGGTGACGATCATCACCAGTGCAGAGTAACGCCTTCTGAGTTACTTTGTTCGTCAAGAATTCTTGCTTTGACCCAAAATGCTCCAAAATCCTCAGTTGTGCTCCAATCATGCTATAACCTGTGAAGACTCTACTAGGACTCTAAAAGGACCAAAAAGACTCAATAAAAAGGACTTATACCATAGTTAAAAACCATAAAACCATGATATATCACCTTTGCTTAGGGATTTTATATTGATTGTTGCTTTCACACCTTGAACATGATTTGGAACCACCTAACTAACTATTGCCTAAGTCTTGAATCTTGTCTTTAATATTTCAAATTTGTCAATCATTTGCTCTGTTGTGCTCTGTTTTTTTGTGATCACCATATTGCTCTTGTTTAGCTTGAACCACTTGTTTTTGAGTATTTATGGTTTGATCTCTTTTGTTACTTATTTGCATTTGCTTAAAGTGTTAAGTGTGAACCTTTTTTAAACCCCCTTTTAGCCTAGCTTAGTGAGTTTATTGCATTTTCATTACAATATTTCTAGTATGGATTGAAAACTTCAAAATGCTATGATGACATGATTTTAAACTTGGGGAATTAAATCACAATGGCCATATGTCACCTCAGGATTCGTCGTGGTAAAAGTGAGCCTAACAATTGTCCCCGGCTTCTCGACTGATTAGAAATGAGTCGGGGAGCCGATATTTTTATCGTTTCTATAAAATAATCAAAGATTGGTTTGATACCAAAATGTTTTTTTCTGGTTCAAAGCCGTGTTAGAACAGGCCACTTGGTCTTGTCGCATATCTTGGAGGAGTACAGATCTAATCGAGACGAAGACAGAGTTTCTGGAGAAATGATGATAAGTCACATACTTTTACATTTATACTTTTACCACGATGTGGTTCTGGGGGGAGAGGATAGCTATCCGACTCAACCCCCGATATCCGTTTAGCCCCGTTGCCTGCCTTGTTCGCGAGAAGCATGCTATCGGCCCTTGCCTGAACACTCTCGTGGTGGCGGAGACCGCTGTTTTGATCGGTGTGCGCGTGCCTAGATGCAGGTGCTGTTGGTTGAGTAGAGTCTTGGGCACCATCGAGGATTAGCTTCGCCGCGAACGAGGTTCGCGAGACAAGCATCTTCAAGGCGACCCATCCTTGGGGATCGTTCCCCCCTAGGGCTGGTGACCCGGCTCAGCTCCATTAACGGGGTTCTCTTTCCCGCTTTGCTTCGTCTTTGGTTTTCTATCGTACGGTGCCTCAGGGTGACTTCCACCGCCTTTGGCCGTCTATGGCTCAGAACTACTTTAGCGGTTGGCTGCTCGGCAACGTAGTGACTAGTTGTTTTTTGGGGTTATACATCGGTCTTCCTTTTTTATACCTCCCTTCCTCAGTCCTGTTCAATCCATACAGTGCATTGAAGTACATATGACTCGGTAAACATGTCACTTACCTAAAAAATCTGCTAAAAAGTTGATAGCATGCTTAGAGGAAAAAAGTCAGGTTTCTAAAATCATGTGTTGCCTTGAGATTGATCGTGATAAAAATAAAATCAACAAATAGTAAAAGTAAATTAGAGTTTTCATCTTTCACTAAGCAATAAAAGAATATATAAATTAGAGAAGAGATAGATTGTTTTTTCTCTCTCTTAGACCAAGTCCATCGGAGTCTTTTAATAGGGTTTTTAGTTATAAAAAAAATAATAAAAAAAGAAATAAAGAAGAAAGAGAGAAGATACGTCTCTTCTTTAGTGATTTTAAAATACGTATGTAGACATATGTAAACTAATTATTGGTGGATTTCCTTTTTTATTTAAAATTTAATTAAATAAATAAATTTTAATATTTTTATATACCTTAAATACTCAACCCCATCTCTCAACCGATGGAGATGCCCTTAATATGAGCTCTTCGTCTTTTTAATCTCACAGAAAATATTTTAGCTAACAAATTTGCGAAATTGACATTCACCAACCATAAATATTTTATGCTACTGTTTATTTTGTTTGCTTTATAAAATATGTCCCTAAGACGAATTTATATCATTTGCATAAAAAAGACCAAATAATATTCTTGATCTTTTTTTTTGTGCGAAAATTAATATTCTTGATCTTTATTGATCTTTATTGGATTTTTTGGCTTCTTTAAATTTAATTTTTTTCTGTTAACGTTATTGTGAACAAATACTTTGTCAACATTAATAGAATAATAATCTACAGCCAATATTCAAGATCTCTATAAAACTATTTCTAAGTATAAAATCATACCAACCAAATAATCTCGAGAAAAGAGAGAGAGAGAGAGAGAGAGAGAGAGAGAGAGAGAGAGAGAGAGAGAGAGAGAGAGAGAGAGAGAGATTGACTTTCCACACCAACGTGCGTCCATGCAAATCAAGCCTTCTGTTACCAAACGCACACGCAGAAATTAACACATACATATAGCTTCATCTATTACAAATGAAGATGCGTGGAAAGATTTATAGGTACGATAGCATAAAGGAGAGAAGTTTTAAAATGGGTTTAAAAACTCAGAACTCTAGAGGGAAATTCTTCATGGTCTATCTAATACTAATCTCATTGTCTGTTCTTGGTTTGATCTTAGCCTTTAAACCTCTTTTTCTTCTAAACCAAATCATCACTTCTCCATCCTCCGATTTGCGGATCGATCTTCCTTCTCCGCAAGTCCACAGTCATAATCCAAGATGGCTCCGACTTATCCGTGACTATCTACCGGAAAAACAAATCAGAGTCGGCTTCCTTAACATCAAAGAGCAAGAGCGCGAGAGCTTTGAAGCTAGTGGTCCGTTGACTCTTAAGAATGTCCACATCTCGCTGGATCCTCTTCCTGAGAATGTCACTTGGAAGAGTCTCTACCCGGAGTGGATCGACGAGGAAGTTTCTAACTGCCCTGAGATCCCTCTCCCTCAGCCGGAAGGTTCTGATGCTGACGTGGACGTCATCGTTGCTAAAGTTCCGTGCGACGGGTGGTCGGGGAATAAAGGGCTAAGGGATGTTTTCAGGCTCCAGGTTAATTTGGCGGTGGCGAATCTAGCGGTCGAGAGTGGGTTAAGGAGAGTTGATCGGATGGTGTACGTTGTGTTCATCGGGTCATGTGGACCCATGCATGAGATCTTCAAGTGCGATGAGCGCGTGAAGCGCGTGGGAGAATATTGGGTGTATAAACCTGATCTCCTAAAGTTGAAACATAAGCTTCTCATGCCCGTTGGTTCATGTCACGTTGCTTCTCCATTTGCTCAACTCGGTAAATTTTGATCTCTTTCCCTTTATATAATAATTTCTACACTTTTTATGGATTTCATCATCATTTCACAACTATATGTAATATACGGCATATAGTGATTTATTTCAACATTCTTTAACCAAAAGTTGACTAATTAATATTGAAATATATACCGAATGCTAAAATTTAGTGATTAATTCAAAAAATAATAATCATATATATAATGTGCATTTCTTTTTCTTTTCTTTTTTGGTTAAAAATAATAATGTGCATTTCTATTTTTGTAAATTGGATAGGATTTTTTGTGATTGCTTACCCGTTCTTGTTTTAAATGAAAAGCAAGCAATGAGGTTAATGGTTGATGCGAGTAGATCGTGCTGCATAGTATGCATTTCCTGCATTTGATATATTAACAGATTTAATTTATTTATTTTTGAATTTTTAAACATACATATATAGTTCGTTGAAGGTTAATCTTAAGACTGCTTCTTTTGCATTTTTAAATTGTAAAAATTCGTCCAACATAAGACTAAATTTTTTTCTTTTCTCACTTTGAGGATTATGGACGTCGATCACAAACTCAACTAATTTCCAACTAGGTGGGGAATATATACCTTATCTTCAACCAGCATAAACCTGCTTACCACAAACCTGACTTGTTCACCAAAATTTTCTCTTTTTCTCTTTTCTCTCGTTCCTCTCATTGCTTCTTTTATCACGTACAGGCCAAGAACCATGGAGAACAAAAAATGAAAATAATCTTACATTGGAGGGGATCCGTAAGCAGCGAGTCGCTTATGTGACAATACTACACTCGTCCGAGGCCTATGTTTGTGGGGCAATAGCCTTAGGACAAAGTATAAGACAATCAGGATCGCACAAGGATATGATTCTCCTCCACGATCAGTCCATAACCAACAGGTCCCTTCTCGGTCTAAGCTCTGCGGGATGGAATCTTCGGCTAATTGACAGAATTCGCAGTCCTTTCGCCAAAAAAGACTCTTACAATGAGTGGAACTACAGCAAATTGCGTCTATGGCAAGTAACTGACTATGATAAACTTGTGTTCATAGATGCAGATTTCATCGTCCTCAAGAAGCTTGATCATCTCTTCTATTATCCGCAACTCTCGGCCGCAGGCAACGACAAAGTATTATTCAACTCCGGAATCATGGTAACGCAAACAAATTGATAATAGTGTTGGCTAACTTATTATTATTCTAGAAAATAAAAGTTGAAATATATATATTAGCGAAAAATGAAAAATACTAAAAAAAAAACTCAGGCAACACATCGTGTAAAGATAATTGGTTGAATAAAACTAAAGTTTTCTTCTATTTTCCTATTAATGTTTTGTCCCAGGTTGTTGATATATTCGTTTTTTTTTTTCTTCTTTTTCTTTTGTTTTCTCCAGAAACGTTAGACAACTATATATGCTTTGTGTATTTTTGGGCGAAAATCTTATACTATAAATTAAGAAAGTAGTGTTTTTTTTTTGTATCAGGTTCTCGAGCCTTCGCCATGTTTGTTTAAAGATCTAATTGAGAAGTCGTTAAAGATCGAGTCATACAACGGAGGAGACCAGGGATTCCTCAATGAGATCTTTGTTTGGTGGCACAGGTTATCGAAACGCGTGAACACAATGAAGTACTTCGACGAAAAATTCAAAGGAACACATGAACTTCCCGAAAACCTAGAAGGTGTGCACTACTTGGGATTGAAGCCATGGGTATGTTACAGAGACTATGACTGCAACTGGGACATGAGTGTACGGCATGTGTTTGCAAGCGATTCGGTGCACAAAAAATGGTGGAAAGTATATGACAAGATGTCAGAGCAATTAAAGAGTTATTGTGGCTTGAATAAGGAAATGGAGAAGAGGATTGAGAAATGGAGAAACATCGCTAAGAACAATAGTTTGCCTGATAGGCATTGGGAGATAGAAGTGAAAGATTCTAGGAAGAAGAACCTTGTTGTTAAGTGAGAGGGTTTTGGCTATGGTTTTGTTGGAGTCTTAAGGAAACTTGGGAACTAAGAATGAAGAACCTTCTGACACAAGAAAGGGTTTAGGTTATGTAATTTTAAAAAGTACAACGGCAAATTTTGGTACGACAATATACAGGCAATGTAGTTTTTTTTCTTTGAACTTCACATTGTTTTGCTTATAGTCATTGAATCATGTTTGAATTTAACGAATTTTCTAACATTTTATGCTTCCTCTTTTCTTAAAAAACCATGGCTTTTGCCTGTTGTGATTTGGTGATATCGTCTAATATATTTTCAAAATATTGTGATGATGTAAAAAAGTTTACAATAATTGATTTTGTTTACTACATCGGACAACACTTAGCACTAAATATTCATATAACCTGTTACAGAAATATGTATTGCCCTTTTTCAAATAAACATAAGTCAAGCACAACTAGAAAATATTTAAAACATCTATGAATATCTATTCTAATATGACAAAGTTTTTTTTAGGAAAAATTTTGATATACTGTCACATGACACTACAAAATTTGACATATGTCAACTATTTATTCTATATATTTACAAAAAAAATGGTTAGTAAAAAGAGATTTTTGCAAAAATGACTCAAATATTGATTTTAATTGCAAATATAACCTCCAAAATTGGCCACTTTCTCCCAAATAAATCCTTTATAGTTTCAGTTATTTACGAAATTGCCATTATTTTAAATTAATTTCTTTTATTTTCGAAAATCCAAATGACCAACTAATCCTCATCTTTCTCACTTATTTACGAAAAATGCTATCATCATCAATTCACCCAACCACCATTTTCAACCAATTTCGAGCTTTAATGGCACCAAAAACCCATTTTTGAGTTTGTTAGCTCATTACCTTTCTCTTAAGCTTCTATTCTTCCATTTTCTCTCTATTTTCTTCCCAAAAACTATATAATTTGACTATTAGAAAGTTGAAGTTCATATATATTTCTATATTCCAGCGAGTTGGTTGTTTTTTACGGTTGTGTTTCTTTCATGGTGGCTAAAACAAAGATCTTGACCAGAAAAGAAGCTAAAGACGAGTGGTAAGTTGGATTTTCAGTCAATTTTAGTGTTATTCAGTTCTGGGCTTCGAAAGTAGACTTCTCTTGGTCCGAATGAAGTCTACTAGTCAACGCCCAAGTTAGTTTTGCAATTGACCACGTGAAAAAGTAGACTTCTTTTGGTCTGAATGAAGTCTACTCCGTTTCCTTTGATAACAAAAAAATAAAGTAGACTTCTTTAGAAGCAGGTCATTTTTGCAATTGACCAACCTTTGACTTTGTAGAGTAGACTTCTCCATGAAAAGTAGACTTCTCCGAGAAGTCTACTTTCGGAAGTAGACTTCTCGCAGGTCATTTTTGCAATTGAAAAATATTTGACTTTTTGGTCAACTGCAAAAATGACCTGCGAGAAAGTAGACTTCTCAGAGAAGTCTACTTTCCGGAGTAGACTTCTCAGAGAAGTCTACTTTCTCGCAGGTAGACTTCTCGCAGGTCATTTTTGCAATTGAAAAATATTTGACTTTTTAGTCAATTGCAAAAATGACCTATGAGAAGTCTACTTCCAAAAGTAGACTTCTCCTAAAAGTAGACTTCTTGGAGAAGTCTACTTACAAAAGGAGACTTCTCGCAGGTCATTTTTGCAATTGACCAAAAAGTTAAAGATTTTTCAATTGCAAAAATGACATGTGAGAAGTGTACTTCCAAAAGTAGATTTCTCAGAGAAGTCTACTTTTCTTGAAGAAGTCTACTAATCTTTTGACAATTGCAAAACTAACCCGCGAGAAGTCTACTTTTCTCCGAGAAGTATACTTTTCTTGTTTTTAAAAAAAAATCATTTTTATACAATATATAATGAATTTTTAAGATTTTTGTGATCATAAGCTTCTTTTTAGTAAGTGTTCTTGATTATGCATAAGTTTTACATGTTTATATTTCATAGGTATAGTCGAATCAGTTTTTATGTTTTATATGATACTTAGCTTATTAAGAGTAGACTTCTCCAAGAAGTCTACTCGCGAAGTCTACTCGAGAAGTCTACTAGGTAGACTTCATCCGACTTTCAGAGAAGTCTTCTTATTCAATTTTGATTTCTAATGTGGTTTGAATTTTGTTTTTTTTTACATAGAATGGTTCACATACCCGCTGTTTATGGAGAATGGGTAAGAAGTGAATCAGTGTGGCAGTTCGAGGTGGATAATAGCAAAGGAGGGCAAATGTTGTTCTTAAGAGATGGTTGCACACATGGTGAGCTTCTTGGTGAATGTTGGCAAAGGAGGGCGAATAGCAAATGAGGGCGAATGTTGTCCCTCTGAATCACTTTTAAGTTATGTAAAATTAATGTCTTTAAGAATTCTACTCGAGACAGGAGAAGTCTACTCGAGACAAGAGAAGTCTACTCGGTTGACAAGTTATGTGATATAAATAGGAGAAATGTCCCTCTGAATCACCTTTAAGTTATGTAAAATTAATGTCTTTAAGAAGTCTACTCGATACAGGAGAACTCTATTTTGTAGAATACATAAACACACATAATTTAGGAATATGATACAAAATATTCAATGCAATTCAACATTACATAGACAATAACCCTCTAAACAAATAAACATTTAAGGATCACTGATTATAAATCTTAAAATTGGAATAAGAAATCACTACTAAACTAAAATCTCTGAAAAATATGTATGCAACTGAAGTCTGCTTGAGAAGTCTGCTCGAGAAGTCTACTCAAGAAGTCTGCTCGAGAAGCCTGGTCAAGAAGTCTGCTCGAGAAGTCTACTCGAGAAGTCTACTCGGGAAGTCTACTCGAGAATTCTAAACGTTTTGAACCTTCAAATCACTTAAATCCGGCGGAGACAAGCAAGAGCTTTGTTGAGATCTGTAGAACAAAACCATAAATATAAATAAGGTCAGATCTGCAACAATAAGAAAAGAGAAATTTTAAAATTTAGATTTGCAACATAATCTACTATATTTATAACACTCAGATCTGCAAAAAAATCAACAAAATTCAGCTCTGCAACAATAACAAAAAATTTTGATCTGCAACAAAATTCAGGTCTACAACAAAATTTATATAACAATAAACTCAGATCTACAAAAATAAACTTAGATCTATAACAATAAGCTCAAATCTATAATAATAAGCTCGGATCTATAATAATAATCTACTATATTTATAATATTCAGATCTGCAAAAAAATATCAACAAAATTCAGCTCTGTAACAATAACAAAAAATATAGATCTGCAACAAAATTCAGATCTACAACAAAATCTACAAAATTTATACAACAATAAACTCAGATCTACAAAAATAAACTTAGATCTACAATAATAAGCTTAAATCTATAATAATAAGCTCAGATTTGCATATGAACACAAAGCAAACAAAAAAGGAACACAAAAGCTCATATTTGCTTACCACTACCATAACCTGCAAGTGAGAGGATGTTGAATGCAAGATAGAGAGGATGGAGAGGATATTGACAGCAAGAGAGGAAGGAGAAGAAATTCATGGCCAGAGAGAAGGGAGAAGAGAGAGAGGCGTTTTTTAGATAGAGAGAGACTTTATTGTTAATACAATTAGGTTAAACTCTCCTTATATATGTAGAAAAAATTCGTTTAAGTAGACTTCTCCAGAAACCGAGAAGTCTACTCGAGAAGTCTACTCGAGAAACCAAGAAGTCTACTCGAGAAACCGAGAAGTCTACTCGAGAAGTCTACTTAGTATTGATTTTTATCTTAATTCATCTATGATGATTTAAATTGATTATTTTGTATCAAATTTTATTTTTAACAGGTGTAAAAAGTATATATTTGTGTTATGTATCTAATTTTTTTTATCAAATTTTTTTAATGATTTCTAAAATTAATTGTAAACATATTATTAATTTCTCAAGTAGACTTCTCTGAGATAAAACAGTAATTGAGGCTGACATTTTTTTGTTTGGTCATAAGGGTTAAAATTGTAGTTTTACTACCTCTATGAGTTAGTTTTGTCAAACATGCAATAGGAGGTCTAGTTTTTCAGTTCAACTCAAGTTTTGAGTCATATTCAGCAATTCTCTCTAGTAAAAAAGAACAAAAAAAAATTGTAATATAAATTTTACAACAATCTTTAAATAACAAGAATAATACAATAATTTACTAACACTATTCACTTTTATTATACATATATTATACATATTATAGCTTCTTCCTTCAAAGAATGCTATCAGAAGAGTAAATAAAAAACAGACACAATGCCCTCTTAACAACCTGATAATCTCATATTTTATCATGATTTAGCTTGCATTAGTCCATATTTTAGTCTCTTTCATGCATGCATCCATTCATCATATCTTGTTCCATTTGTATTCATATCAGACGCACCAACGACAGCCACTCGTGCCCTCCTCGGTGTGAACTTATCCGAGAAAAACATTGACAATGTTTGACTTTTTTGTTTTTAGTGGCTTGTGTTATTTTTGGGACTCTCCCTATAAATAGCTTAGACTTAGACTCATTTTATTTATCATTTCTCTTCCCAAAAGCTTTGCTTTGGTTTTTCAAGCAGCAGGACGAGAGGAAAAGGATCAGCACGAGGATTCCAAGCCGTTGGTCTGCATCGAAGACCAGCATCAAGGAAGGACATCGATACGCGCTGCACGGACCATATCGAGGTCGTATATCGAGCAGAACATCGACCGTACGACCTCGATGCAACTCATCCGCGTTGACCACTTGACTTTTGTTAACCTTATCCTGTATTTTTAGGTTTTTATGCTTTTTTTGACTCCCTACTATAAAAGGGAAGCCACAAAACATTATCTTTATGAAGTTCTATCTTATCCAAGTTTATCTTTCTATCAAAAACCTTCTCTAAACCTTAAAGGGCGATTTTCCTTAAGGGTCTTTATCTTTAATAAAGTTTGCATTTTTATGGTTTAATCTTGTCTTTTAATCTTTGTTCTTGCACCTTGGTAGATTAGATTTATCAACTTTGCATTTTAACCTCAAATCAATGGGATTAAACATGATTAGTGAGTAGTCCTCTTTAGATTTAGGGTTCTAAGTAGGAAAAGTGGTGATTAAGATGTGATAAAGGGGTGATTAGGCTCGTTTAATGGTTCTCTGTTATCTCCTTCTCTTGCAAAGTGATTAATGTTGATAAAGCTTGCTCCTTTTATATGGTTTGATAGATGCATATGGTTCGTTTGATGTCTTGATATCTCTTTTCTA